GTACAAAACGTATATCGATTTCATGGGCCTTCACAACATATAATTTTGGATCGAAGGGTTCAATTCACTTCTAAGTTCTGGAAAGCTTTTCTAGACTTGATGGGGTCTAGTCAAGAGTTATCTTCTTCCCATCATCCTCAAACGAATGGGGGGACAGAGAGACTTAACTCAACTCTAGAACAATATCTGAGATGTTTTATTAATTACCAACAAGACAATTGGTCAGACCTGCTACCATTTGCTGAGGTTGCCTATAATAATGCTGTGCATTACAGTACTGGTTTCTCTCTATTTCAAGTAGCAAATGGTCAAACCTTTGTGGCCATGCCTTAACTCCCCACCAAAGAGCCTGAAATCCCCTCCATGCAGGAGTGGATTAAACAATTGCAAAACACCTGCCGGTGGTCAGAAAAGCATTGGATGAATCCAGGAAGGCCTATAAAGCTCAAGCCGACAAACGTAGGGTGGAACAGAAACCTTATAAAGTCAGAGACTGGGTGTTCCTTTCCACAAAGTATTTACAATCGTTGCAACCTTCCAAGAAACGGGGGCCTAAATTTATAGGACCTTTTCCATCATCAACCCTGTGACGGTTGAATTAGACCTGCCAAAGAATCTACAGAAAATCCACCGTTTTCCACTGCAGCTTAATCAAACCAGAAATCACTTCCAACATCAGGCCTCCTGCACCCCCAGTGCCCACGCCCATCATGGTTGAGGGAGAACAATATTTTGAAATTAAAGACATTTTAGACTCTCGAACACACATGGAGTGACACAGTACCTAGTAGCTTGGATGAATCTTCCTGCTGCCCAGAATGAGTGGGTATACAAGAAACATGTTAGAGCCCCTAAACTTCTACAATGTTTCCATTCTAAATACCCTGAGAAACCTAATTGATTTGTCTATGTTGTTGTTTCCTTTACCCTTTTTGTTTTCCAGGTGGATTTTCTGTTCTAGGGCAGACATGTCAAACACAAGGCCCACGGGCCAAATCCGGCCCGATATGTGGTTCCATCTGGCCCAGGGACCTGCTCTGGAAATAGCGAAGGACCGGCCCACCACACCTCAGCCCGGCTCAGGCTGACCGGGTGCTGATCTACAACCTGGTTGCATCCATCAAAGCCAGAACGTGCTCATCCTTAAATCCACAGGGCAGTCCTGCTCCATTCCCTGGGTGCGCACGCAAGCTGAGTCCGGCGTCCCTGCTGGCTGTCTTGTCCCGCAGGCTGACTTCACCAAGACGCTGGCACTGGCCATCTCCTGTGTGCACACCCGGGGGACGGGGCAGAGGTGGCGAGGCAGCTCCTTGCTGGTTCCAGTGGCTAAGTGCATTCTGGCTTTGATGGACGCAACCAGGTTGTAGATCAGCACCTGGTCAGCCACCCCTACCAGCACCTCCAGCCTCGCAGCTATGAGGCTTTCCTTTCACCTGGATAGGACCCCCCCCCATGTGGGATAGTAAGACCGGCGGCAACATGGCAGCACTGGCAATCTCTCCCCTCCCATCGCCTCTTACTGAGCGTGGAGGAAGGAAAGAGATGAGAAGGAGAGAAGGAAGGAAGAAAGTGTAGCGGAGAGGGGAGTTGGGATCGGCACTGGCTGGGAGGCTTTGCCAGAGCTCTGCGGATCCAGTAGAGAAGTCGTGAGCTCTGGTGGTGGGGCGGAGCTCTTGGGGAGGGATTTTTAAAGGGGAAGAGGAGATTGACTGGGGGAAGAAGATTTTATTTTCTCTTTTCCGGGGAGACAAGTTCCTCAACTCCCCTCTCCGCTACACTTCCTACCTTCCGTATCTCCTCATCTCTGGTGCTGGTGGGAGGGGGGGGCGGCGCTGATCTTACAACCTGATTGCGTCCATCAAAGCCAGAATGCGCTCATCCTTAAATCCACGGGGCAATCCTGCCCCATTCCCTGGGTGCGCACGCAAGTGGAGTCTGGCATCCCTGCTGGCTGTCTTGCCCTGCAGGCTGACTTCACCCAGGATGCCGGCGCTGGCTGTGTCCTGTGCGCACACCTAGGGGGTGGGGCAGAGGTGGCGAGGCAACTCCTTGCTGGTTCCAGTGGATCTTAGGCTGAACATGTTTTGGCTTTGAAGAATGCAACCAGGTTGTAGATCAGCGCCACCATCCCCCACCAGCACCTCTCGCCTTGCAGCCACGAGGCATCCCTTTCAACGGGACCGCCCCACCCGCCCACGTGGTGTAGGAATGGCTGGCAGCAGCATGTTAGTGCTGGCAATCTCTCCCCCTCCCATCACTCCTTCCTCTGAGTGCAGGAGAAGGAAAGAAATAAGGCGAAGGAAGGAATGGAGGGAGGGAGGGAGGAAGGAATGGAGCAACGGAGGGTGGGAGGAAGGAACAGAGGAATAGAGGAAGGAATGGAGGGTGGGAAGAAGGAAGGAAGGGAAGAAGGAAGGAACAGGGAGGAAGGAATGAAGGGTGGGAGGGAGGGAAAAGGAGAAAGGAAGGAACGGAGGAAGGAAGGAACAGGGTGAGAGGAAGGAAGGGAGGGTGGGAGGGAGGAAGGAAGGAAGGAACAGGAAGGAAGGAAAGGAAGAAGGAAGAAACGGAGGAAGGAATGGAGGGTGGGAGGGAGGAAGGAAGGAACGGAGGATGGGAGGGAGGGAAAAAGGGAAGGGGGAAGGAAGGAACGGAAGGTGAGAGGGAAGGAAGGAACGGAGGGAGGGAGAAAGGGAGAGTGGGAGGGAGGGAAAAGGAGGGAGGAAGGAATGGAGGTTGGGAGGGAAGAAGGAAGAAACAAAGGAACAAGGAGGAAGGAATGGGGGATGGGAGGGAGGAAGGAACAGAGGAAGGAAAGTGGGAGGGTGGGAGGGACCATGTCCCAGCGCTCGCCCCAGTCCCACCTTTCTTCGCCGGAGACCCTCAGATCTGCCCAGGCACCCCTGAAGCAAGTAATGTTGAGCTGACCACGCCCATCCAGTAGGGCATGCCCACCCTGGCCACACCCATCCGACCCTCTGAGGGCAACCCCAATGCTGATGTGGCCCTCAATGAAATTGAGTTTGACATCCCTGTTCTGGGGGGGGGGGCTGTACAGTATGTCAGGTCCCCAAACCCTCATTGTTTCCCCTGCAAATATATATTCTACTTTTGGGGCCTGCCATTCTGCTGGGGGGAAGGGGAGCATGCTTTCCCTTGAGATAACTTCCGCTTTCTACTTTCCCTCTCTTGCTTCTATCGTCTTGAGAAAGGAATGTGTCTCCCTTCTCAGGGAGACGGTTACAGTGAAACGAAAGCTGGAGAAGACCATGAGATGCGCGCCAACTTTATCAGCCGGCCAGACTTCATGGCACCTGTGGATTGGCTGGATTTCAAATGGACATTATGACTTTGGTTGGAGGAAGAATACTGCTGGTTTAATTATACCGTTCAAGCGGGATTTTCCCGAGATCTCGCCTTGACTTCCCTACTGTCACTGATCCCTAATAAAAATATCCTTTTGAGACAATGCCTGTTTCAAGAGTCCTGCTTTCTTGGGTGGTTAGCTGAGGTGGGTCTTTACAGACTATTTGCAACACACTCTACATGGAGCTACCTTTGAAAAATATTTGGATGCTTCAGCTGCAGAATGTGGCTGGGTGAGCTATACAGGTAGTCCTCAACAACCACAATTGAGTCCAAATTTTCTGTTGTTAAGTGAGACGTTTGTTAAGTGACATCTGCCCCATTTTATGACCTTTCTTGCCACAATTGTTCCCCTTCAACTTTGTCAAAATGTTACAAAAGTGATCAGATGGACATTGCAATCATCCTAAATAGGAGTCAGTTATCAAATGTCTGAATTTTGATCGCATGACCAGGGGGATGCTGCAATGGTCGTAAGTCACATTTTTCAGCACCATTGTAACTTCGAACGGTTACTAAATGGACTGTTGTAAGTTGAAGTCTACCTGTATCAAAAGATGGGCGCATATAACACCCTTGCTCTTTTAACTGCATTGGGTGCCAGTTTGCTTCCAGGTCCAATTCATAGTGTTGGTTGTGGTCTATAAAGCCCTAGATAGGGCCAGATTACATTTGGAACTGTCTTCACCCTGTCACATTGGCTAGTCCCACCTTGTCAGGCAGGAAGATATGTTACAGATCCCTTCAGATGTCTCCTTTTAAGTTCTAGATTTTCAAGTTTTATATGCTGTTTTTATATTTTAACATTTTATTGCATATCATCCAAAGTCCCTTTCCGAGAGAGATGAGAAGTTCAAAAACATGAAAAATAAATAAATCCATAGCTTTGGTTTCCTAGTCTGGTCTACCTCAAAGAGTTGACAACAGCAAGTTGAAAGAAAATGTTTCATTCACTCTCTGTCATCTTGTCATGCTGGTTTAACATGGCATAGTGAAGCCATGAAAAAAAACTTGATTTCCCTAAAGCAGGAGCAGTTGCCCTTGAAGTTAGTATGTGACCTAGGAGAATTTAGTCAGCACCACTTCTCTGCGCAAATATGAGGTCAGGGGTCACACTTGCTAGTTCTGGGGCTCTAAATTGTCTTTTATTCTACATGAAATTGATTTCTGCTAAGTGAAGTTACCATTTCATGTTGCCTGCTGGGCAGCAGAAATATAATTTAGTTCACCAAGACATAGGAAAATACAGCACTTATTTCTTTTCTGCCTCTTTATTCCATGCTGTTGCCCCTTTTCTTCCATCCAAATCATCCTTTTAACAGATACACGGAGGAGACTGTTTGTTCAGAATAAAGTTCAGTTCATTGATGAAAGACCCAAGTAAATTACAAAAATTACAGCTCTCCCATGAATAAACCAGCCTGCATTTTTGGGGAGGAAAGAAAACAAGTTGGTAATTCACAATAAAGGAACAAGTTAATTAGAAGTGCAATCATGTTTTAACCAAATGAATTTTTTAAAATCATATAATTATTTCTTTATTGTCTGAAACATTTTACCGTTATGTTAATATGTAAAACACGTCCTCTATGTGTTATCTTTAATTATATAAAAATTTCTTGTACTCTATGCAGAGAACAGAATATAACAACCTGTACCTGTACAAGCATTGAAGCTACTCCTGATGATCAGGTACTTGAAGTCTGGGATGAACTTAGAATGGTTGGCTTACCAGATGACATTGATGTTCAAGCCTTATTTGAACCAACAGGTATTCTTCACATATTCTTCACATATTCTTAACTGAAGAACATTTAACTCATTCAAAACATTGTTATTTATTTCTGCCTTTTGAGGGGGGGGGGACAATCTCATTCTCTTTTAAAAGAAAAAATACTAGTATTCTGCTATAATTGTAGCCATGCGAGGCTTTGAGGATACAATATGAGTATATGTTGCAATATCCATCTTTGGATTCTAATGAACCTTGTGAAATATAGGTAGTCCTTGACTTACAACCATTTGTTTAGTGACCATTCAAAGTTACAGCGGTACTGAAACAAGTGATTTACAATTTGTCCTTGCACTTGACAACTATCACAGTATCCCCTGGTCAGAATTCGGGCACTTGGCAATTGGGGTGTATTTACAAAGGTTGCAATGTCCCATGGTTATGTGATCACAATTGACAACCTTCCCAGCTGGTGTCTGACAACAGGAGTCAACGAGGAAAATCCAGATTCACTTAATAACTGAGCGATTCTCTTAGCAACTGCAGCAATTCGCTTAACAACCATAGCAAAAAAAGTCATAAAATCAGGTATGACTTGTTTAAGAACCACTTTGCTTACCAATGAAAATTCTGGTCCCAATTGTGGTCTTAAGCCGAGGACTAACTATATTTAGGTAAAAGTTTCCATTTAAAATTTTAAACTGCCCTGTTTTAACCCATTGTAATGTTTCATTTGTGGTACAGTTTTTCTGATGTATGTATGTATAAAAATATTTTATCATTAGTCCAAGTTGGACTAGTCTCCTAGGCTTTAAAAGGGTCTTTTAAATCCTGCTACCCATTTTAATAGAGGATGGTGGGCTGGAAGTCCAGAACTTTTAATAGGTATATGTTGAACTGAGCTTTGATACCCAAGATTAATACCACAGATAAATATTTACATATTGAAATGCAAAATTTATATCCGATGCCTTTAACAGCTTCTTAGATTCATTTTTCATGGTGACAAAGAAATAATAAGTAACTAGTCTGAAGAGTTAGACCTTTTTGCAGGGTTGAAGGTGAATAGAAAGGCATGAGACTAGCCAAAACATTTTAGTTCTCTGGAAGATGATTGTCCCACAGTCTAGCAAGGCCTTTGAAGAAGACACAGCTCTGAGTGGAGATAGCCAAGCAGGTGACAAAACTCACAATTTGACAACTGAATGGGTATAGATAGTAAGGCAACTAGAAATAAAATTTACCTACTTACTTATTTGACTAGCAACTCAAACGATAAATTGTAATCATTAAAGTTTGACTAGAACAGTAAAAAATGCTCTTTATTTATGATCATCTTACAAAATATTCCAGAAGCAAAGTTATAGAATATATGCAGAATAATATAAGCATGGTTTGCATGAAGATAATATATTAAGAAAGAGACATGGGTGCAATATTTCAGTTTAATATTCTGTTTAAAAACAAATTCAGATTAGGGATGACACACTAATTAGGCGGAGAGAGCTTTGTTTATAATGGGGCCTTCTGCTATACTACTCAGAAACATCTTCATGTCATATGGCAGTAATACATGTGGGTATGATTTCTTATGAATTTTCTGAGATCTCAGTTTATAGAAATTCAAAAGACCCTAATATTAAATTCCAAATTTCATATTAATTTGAATTTCTGATAGGATCAAGTTATGCCATTTGTCTTTTTGTTATACATTGGTGCTTTTATCTATTCCCTTTGAAGCTGAAAGTTAGATATTACTTGGCAAAAGCAGTTAACCTAATTGATTAATTTGCTAAACATCATATGTGTTAGGCTATTGTTGGGCTCATCACCGCTGTGCGGAATGGTCACTGGAAGTTTGCCAGACAGAAGAGCAGCTGCCAGCGAACGTGGACAAAGCTGTTGTCTCAGGGAGCACAAAAGTGAGTTTGAAAATAATTAAGATTATATATTTTCTAAAATAAAGTAAAATCTAAATCCTGTGCCATGAATGCTGAAAATATTATGGAATGCAGTGATGATATTTGCATGTTACTTCAAAATACATAATGAAATATATTTTTCAGTTATTAATTTCTATTAGGTCAGTAAAAATAAAATGGGAGGTGGTACATTTCACTAGCAAAATGTTAGCCTCCAGGTAACTAAATAATCATTTTTTATCCCACCGCCCAGCCTTGCAAACAAAGAGTACTTTTTTTAAAAAACAACAACAAGATCTTCTATGTTTACAGTTGCCTTAAAGATTTTGGCCCAGTAAGCCAATCAATTTTAAATACATTGATTTTAGGTAAATGTGAACACAATTGCAATAAATAGATTTAGGTATTCTTTTAAATGTATAAATTAAGGTATACATGATGTTCTGGTGAGATAACAAAGATTTTACTGAGGCTGGAGGAATTGGAGAGGATGAAATATCTTTAAGAATAAATTTAAATAGTGTATATAACTTTATATTGGTACTAATAGGAGTGACGTTTTGTGAATTAGTTTAGAACACAGAAACTACTTTTTTCCGTAACATGTTTTTTAATTGACTTCAGGTTTTTCGGGGGGCTGAAAGAGAATGTTTTTTTTAATGGTAATTTTTTTAATGGTAATTTTTTAATTACCATGTTTTCCCGAAAGGAAGACCTACCCCGAAAATAAGCCCTAGCTTGATTTTTCGGGATGGGCCTAATATAAGCCCTATCCCAAAAATAAGCCCTAGTTTTGGGGCGAGGCACACACCTAAAAATTAGTCTAAGGCGGGAGTAGGGAGGTGGAGCTGCACCACATGCTCCACACCCGCTTACCATTGCAGCCAGGCCTCCCATGAATCGACACCTGCCTTGCTGGCCCACTTTTTCTGCGGTGCCCCCCCCCCGGCCTGCATTTTGCTATTAGTGGCCTTCTAGAAAGGCCTCTGCAGCCAAGAACCAAGCTACAGATTCAATCCATAGCTTGGTTCTCTGCTGCACGTCAACCTGGAGCTCCATTCTCAGCTGCAGAGGCATGTCCTTCAGCCGGAGAAGAGGTGGGCTGGCTGGGCAGGGCTATTGGTGCCATGGTGGCAATGCGAGACCATGGAAAAGACACACCCCAAAATAAGGCCTGGTGCCTCTTTTGGAGGCAAAAAAAAGACCGGTTCTAATTTTGGGGGAAACACGGTATGTGATACTAATTTTTCGTTTCCTGATATGGTTAGTGGCTGTTTTATAAATTATACAAAAATGTAGCAAGGATTAGATGTGATATGGAAGTGTTGAACATGCAGTATAAAACTTGCAAATGTTACATGTAATTTAATGTTTATATCTAAGGTAAGAAGACAATTCATGTCATATAACAGCAGCACTTATTCTCTATTCAAGTTGCTTTTCTGGGTCATGAATGGATGTTGTTTTACATTTTTCTAAGAATTTAGATCCCCCCCCCCCCGACTTATAAACCCCTTGTCATATTAATAGAGATCCCATCCCATGAAAAAAGTCCATGAAAATATGTTTTGATGAATGCCCTAATTTGTTTTATCCTCTGGATAAAACAGTATTCTTTTTCATGTTTAGTTGAAACATGCATATTTAGCAGCAGCAAAAAAACTCTAGTTTATAGATAAGTAAATAATGGTATACAGTATGCTTTCAGTATGTTTTCTTTAAGGAGATAGTTACAACAAATAAGACCATGCCAGAACCAAAGTACCTTTCCCTGCTTTGGATCCAGCTACAGGCAGTCCTCGACTTAACAACCCTTCATTTAACAATCATTTAAATTTACTGGAAGGCACCGAAAAAGGTGATTTACAACCAGTCTTTGCGCTTATAACCATCACACCATCAAAATTTGAGTGGTTGGCAACCAGCATGTATTTATGATGGTTACAGCATCCTGGAGTCATTTGTGACATTTCTAGTTGTCTTCCAACATAGTCAGCGAAGGAAGTCTGATTCATCTAACAATCACATGATTCATTTAACAACTGCACTGATTTAGTTAACAAAATGTGGCACAAAAGGTCATAAAATTGGGTACAACCCACGTATCCGCCTTACTTAGCAATAGAAATTCTGGTCCCAGTTGTTGTAAGTCAAGGACTAACTTTACATGCACATCTGTTTTAGAAAAACATACCTTTAAAAAAAAAGTCAGCTGCCTCACTAAATTAAACTAATGATTATTGTTATGTATAAAATTTAAAATCTGTTTAAATATATGTAATTTTCTTTGTCAATGAATTGGCTAAACGTAACATTTTAAATTATGCCTTGCTTATGAAAGTCATTAATGATTGGTTTATCATGTGGCAGTTGGACATTGAAAAATGCGAACCTATGTCGTTCTTACATTTGTAGAAGTATTCTTAGTTTGTGAGCAAGATGGTGATTTCAAGTTAGATTATATCTTATTTTTATGACACTGTTTTTAGCATATGTTCTTACCTTTACTTGAATGGGCTTGTAATGATAACTCATATTTTGATCACCAACACAGTTGGACTGCTGTAATCTTCTCTTAAGCCAGGCTGTTTTGGAAATGATTTGGAACTGGACACTGGTCCAACATGGAGAAGCTAGATTTTAGCATGGCAAGCTTGCTGATGCAAGATCTTAAGGTTGCCAAACTCATTAGCAATAGGCTATTGGGATCATAGGGCAAAAACATAGACCTTTTCTGTAGTGTCCCCCATTCTTTGGAAGAAAGTTACACACACACCCGGACATGTTTATTCTTGCATTGTTGTACATTTCTGGTGCTTTTGTATTGGAATAGTTATATATAAGAAAAAAAGAGATAGTTGATACTACCTGCTTCCTTACTCCTTAAAAATATTTTTTTCAGGGATAAATAATTATTTTTATTTTAACAAGGACATGTTCTCTGCAAGTAATAAGATTTAAAGATGACAATGTAATGTTTAATTTGTTCTTTAAAAATTAAATCGTGTTTACAAATATATATATGCTTTATTTCATAGTGTACTCAAAGAGGGAGGGAGGGAGGAAGGAAGGAAGGAAGGAAGGAAGGAAGGAAGGAAGGAAGGAAGGAAGGAAGATCATAGTAGATTAGAAAATGGAAATATGGTCATTGAGTTGAAAATATATGGAAGATATATGAAAACTCCCAAAAGGTTTTACATATTTATTTAAGGAAGTCCTAATCCCACTGCACAGGGCTTTATTTAGACTCTTTTTGGAATACTGTGTCTGGTTCTGGAGACCTTACTTAAACAAAAACATGGATAAGATTGAGTGAGTCCAGAGATAGGCAACAAAATAGGTGCAAAGTCTGAGGGACAAAAATGTATCAGAAGAGATTGGAGAAACTGAATATGTACAGCCTGGAGGACAAAAGGGAAAGAGGGAGGGGGACATGATTGAAACCTTTAAATATATTAAGAGTGTGAAAAAGGTTCTAGAAGTATTTTCAATCTTAAGCAAAAATCAAGAACATGGAAGAATTAACCTCAACTGATAGAGGAGAAGTTCAGAAGTAATGTTAAAAACTATTATTTCATAGAAAGAATAGTGCAGAGATCCCCAACCCCTGGGCTATGGTATCGGTACCAGGCTGCATCCCATTTGGAACTGGGGCCGCGCAAACGTTGGGGGAGCACGCATGTGCAGCTCCACTTGCGCAAGTGGGGGATGCACGCGCTTTGTCCGAAGCTCCATTTGTGTGAGCAGCAAGTGCACGTTCCGTCGCTTATGGAAATGGAGTTGCGTGAGTGTGTACCCCTGCTGCTTGGATGGAACCATCCCCACACACATATCCGCCAGTCTGCCAAGTTGGAAAGGTTGGGGAATGCTGGAGTAATGGAAGTTTGGAACCAACGTCCAGCAGAGGTGGGTCAGTCATCAGTAACTGAGTTTAAACATGCTTGGAATAAACACATGTCCATCATTTGACAAAAATTTAAAAATATAAAAATAATAATTAAAATTAATTAATTTTATCCTCAAATCCTCAAGAAGCAGACTATGGACCAATATGTTTTTTTCTGCCATCAGTTTTATATGTTTCTATGCTGATTAGATAAGGCTGAAAGTGACTTCAAGTTTTTGTAAGAAATTTAATGAGATAGAGAGGAAAAGGTGAGCTCTAAAGCTTGTTTGAGGGCTTCTGTTGATGGTTCTTGGTAGCATTCCTCTAATTTTCTGACCATTTCTGTAAAGCAGGCAAGGAGCAATATCCTCTGTTAATATTAATGATTTTATGTATCTAAAACATATATTTTAATAAATTTGGAATTTTAATAGCAGGGTTTTTTTCAGATTTTTCAGCAGTACTAAACATTATAGTAGCATAAGCAGATTCTAAAAGATCTCTTAATACAGCTGGGAATGCTTCTTCTAAATTCTGCAATTCCAAGGAAGGTAGCAGAGAAGGATTTTTTTTCCCTTTCTGGAAATAAAGCTACCTGCAATTGCTTTTTTCTTGGCAAAGCACAGAGAACCAGGCGTTCTTCACTTTCTCATAATGTTCTTTCTTGGGTACAGCATCTCTGCCAATTTTAGTGGCTCAATAGATGGAACAAAAGAACCCACTTCTGATGTTTCAGAAATTCTGAGATCCTAAAGATACAAGTTTTCTCTTTCACATGAAAGAAAATATTAATCAACAAATAAAAACATCTCCAAAATAAAAACTGTGGCTAAATCCCCGCCCCTCGCAACTATTGATAATTGATTACAAGTTGAAATTTGTAAGAACTAATATATTTATTTCCCTAGAGGGAAAATTAAAAGAATTTGCACTTGGCTTCATCTGAGGAAGCTTTCTGTTCATTATGTCAAATGCACAAAAACTGTATTTGAATAACCATTATACTCTTTGGGATTAGTTTTATTCTGAATAATTGAGCTGCTGTAGATAACTGAAAGCTTGCTTTGGTTTCAGTGAAGTCTGGTTTTAGAATTTGCCAGATTATATTGCTATG